TATCAAAATGGAACTAAGATGTTTATAATAATCTGGACCCAATCCCTGAGTAGACTTTTGTCTAGAAGGGTGGGATATAAATCCAATAAATAAACAAATAAATAAATAAATAAATCCATCCATCCATTTCTCAGTTTATTAATGACTTCAGCAATTTCTTCTTCTTTAATCTCTTTTTCTAATATTCTTTTATCATATTCCAATAATTTAGTTTTTAAATTCTCATTTATATAATTTACTATATTCTCTTTCAGTACATTGTTTCCTTTATATAATTTTTGATAAAATTCTTGAAAAATCTTCAATTTATCTTTCATTATATTACATCTCTTACCTGTTCTCTCTTTAATGACCCCAATCGTGTTTTTAATCTTCTATTTTTACACATTCTAGCTAATAATTTTGTATTTTTATTGCTAAATTCAAAACAAATCCTCTTTATATACATCAAATCTCTTTGAACTTTCTCTATCTCTAAGTTTTCTAGTTCATTTCTCTTTGCATGAATTTCTGCCTATATCCTTCTATCTTTTTCTTTTAAAACTTGCTTTCTAAATTTCTCAATTCTTCCAGTTTTTTCATATTCAATTTTTTTCAATTTACAGGATTCCCTTATTCTTATTCCTCTTGAAATTGCTTTCATCGTGTCGTCCCACAACAGGCCTAATTTCGTACCTCCTGCTTCATTTATTGTCCATAATTTTAACCTTTCTTTCTTTCTCTTTTCTGTTACCTCTGGGTACTGGAAAATATCCATTCTCCGTCTTTTAGAGTCTTTATAATCTTTTTTAATCTCAATCTCCATTGACCTCAGAGCATGATCTGTTATTTTTATAGAATCAATCTCAATATTAACTATCTTAGGAATTAGATCTTGAGATGTGAATATGAAATCTATTCTGGAATAACTATTATATACTGCTGAAAAGTAAGAATATCTTCTTTCCTCACCTTTCATTACCCTCCAAATATCCTTCAAGTGATTATTTTTTACCTTCTTGCTCAATATTGTGTTTCTTTGGAGAATATCATTCCGATCATAAACAGTTTTATCCTTTAAACTGAATGTTTCAAGCACCAGACATAACAGGATTGTATCAATTATCTGTCCAAGGGAAAAAATATCTTCATGATTGTTATGTTGGCTGAAATAATATAATACAATCTTTAATATTGTACCAAGTTGCCACTGTTGGCTGTTTCAAACTAGAACCTGAGGAAGTACAAGCAGAAAGTGGTTTTCTGTTTACTACCTAATAGCGTGACTACTCATTGTTAAATTCAGCCTATGTTGAAGTTTTAAACACAAATAATCCCTTTCAGGGTGTGAGCTGTGGAAAGTTCTTGTTATTGTTTCTGTTTCTAGGGCATCTAGCCACTTCTCCTTCTCTTTCTATTTTTTGATTTCTCCATTCCATCCCAAAAACATCATGTGTAGATAGTATAACATTTTACACTTTTTTATTATTATTAACATTTAACTGCTTAAAACAGCCAAAAATGTGCATTTTCAAAAATCTTGAGTGCCACCTCTGTCTAATTTCTTTCCCCACCCAATCCAAATATCTTTAAATATTTTAAAAGATCCTCAGCCTTTCAGTTTTCCTGGGAGGGGAGCTCAAATGATTTAAAAAGCCATCCTCTGCATTTTAGCTCATAAGATAGACTTATTTGTGGCATATGTTCTACCAGCTTTCTTCATATTGCTTTGCTACAGTTTGGTGATAACATTGATTCAAATTGCTTGAGTATATTTTGCAGATTAACAAACTGCTGGTACATTAGCGCAAGATTAGAAGCCCAAAGATCTCCATGTTGTGTAACTCACTGCAAATAGGACTGTTGAATGGTGACATGTGTACGTTATGCTAGCACTGAAATACATTATTATGTTAGTAATACATGAGGATGATAACTTTACTAACAGTGTTCCCCCCCTCCCTATTCTTCAGAACAACAAGTATCCCAACCCCCCTGCTTTTATTTTCATGATTGATGTATCGTACAATGCGATAAGAAGCGGCCTGGTAAGGCTGATCTGTGAAGAGCTGAAGACTCTCCTAGATTACTTGCCCAGGTAACTGTAGATGAGGTTGAGGTGATGAGAGCTTGAAACAGGATGAAACTGTGAAGCAAGATTCCTAGGAGATCTTGAGCAGAAGTTCCATATTTGATTCCCCATTAATTTATTTAGAGAATTGTAATCATTAATTTTAGCCTTTTGTTTCTGTTCATGGGGCAGAGGAACTAGAGACCAAATTACTAACATGTGCTGGATTATGGAGAAAGCCAGAGAGTTCCAGAAAAAT